CGCTTATTTTTCGCATTGACACGCATAAACTTGTAATTCTTGATTCTCGACCTCGACGCCTCGTAACGCATTACGCCTTTTAGAACATTGCTCTGAATCAAGTTGGCCACATCTGGAAGACTTTTGTAAGGATTTCTTCTGTACAAATGATTTTGGCCTTTGACATTTCTATGTTGCAGGTGTTTTATCTGGGACTAATTACATTTTCAACGCCATAGGTGTAGATGTGTTTGATCGATCAATTGAATATCGTGTCATTTAAAACATGAATAATGTTAGAAATTATCTTCTATCCATGGTAGTTAATATAAAATATGTTCATTGCTAATGTAGTAATGTCACGTCATCAGTCAAGTATATAATTTTTGACAATTCAATGTTGAATTGTTAAAAATTGTATGTCCAAGTCAGCGATGGACAAAACAACTTTTACCCACCATGGATAAGAGATCATTTCTATGAATAATGTATGCTTACTTATATTCACACCACAATTTTTATTTCTTACACCATATTTTAATTGTAATTAATGTTCTTAATCTTTGCTCATTATACCACTTATATTCTTAATAATTTTTCATATTATTCTTATCCTCAAACTTTTCATTAGTTAAAACAGTTTGTATTTGATAATGACTTTAAGTCCAAAAGTTCGTTGAAATGGCGTAAAACAACTTATTTTTTCATCATATTTTTCAAAAAGAAAAAAAAAGTGCTAATTTTTTTCCTCATTTCAAAGCATGAAAAAAAATATTTTGATATAAATCATCATCTAGGATGAGACGTACTAGTTAATTAAATGTTGAAGATAGGGATTCGACGAAAAAAGTTTTAAGAAATAACTGCTACAATGTGTAAAGATTAAAGAATTTAACTGCAATTAAAATATGATATAACAAATAAAAATTATGATGACAATATAACATTATAATGCTATTTGTACGTTACCTATTACATATTGGTGAGGCGGAAGAAAAAAAGTGGGGGAGTTTTATTATTTGAAAAATGCTTCTTATATATAATTATTTACATAATATTTTATATAAGGATGATGTGTTAAAATATAAGTGGTCAAGTTATTTAATTGATGAGATTTTAATCCAATTAAATCTCGCGACATCATTTGTTAGTAGATCATTATGTAAATTGTTATGTATATATAACACAATGTTTTTGTTTTAGTTGATTGGTGAAATTTTGATTAAATTATATCATGCTACATCATCTTTTGATAACGAAATCTGTAGTTTGTGATGTACATATAGCACAACTGTTAAAATATAGTTGACTCATGCTTAAATTATTTTTGAATATATTAAAAAAATCATCTTTTTAATTATAAATAACATCTTAGGATTAGGCAGGTGATCTTTATTAATGACGAAGAAGAAAGATCTAACGTGATATATTAATTTATGGACGAATAAATTAATGAAAAATCTCACCGTTTGATTTTGAATTAAATTCAACACTAAAAGACGATCGATCACCAATGCTCTAAATGTTTAGTAACTAAAATATTTATTATAAAATAAATAATTTAAAAATAAAATAAGTTATAGCAAAATATTATCAAGATCAAACAAGTGAACCCATAGTCCTAATTTCCTCATAACAAGATTTATCCTTTGTGTTTACCCAAAACCAAGATTGGCGGATGGGACAAAATGCTCTTCTAATTGAGAGCAAAATCCCAGTTTTAATAGAAGTGAGCTGATTAGTCAAATTGAATGAGGTTCGATATTATAGTTCGTTTAAATATATCTATATATGTTTTATCAATTTTGCTATAGGTAGTGTGATTGACAGCTTTGTTGACAATGCGTGAGGTGGCCAACCCTTGAAACAATGGGTGATACAAATTTTACTCCTCATTTAGGGATGGTAAAAAAGTTCGGCTCGACTTGACTCGAAAAAAACTCGAGCCGGGCCCGGCCCGGCTCGGGCTCGGGCTCGGGCTCGGTCACACCGAAAAAGCTCAAGTCGAGTCCGAGCTTTTTTATTTAATTTATAGTACGTATCAATCGTACAAATTTTAAATTTTTTAAGTAAAAATATAGATTTGATATTAAAAAAAAAAAAATCCGAACAGCTCGTTTCGCTAAGGCTTTGGCCGAGCCTCATTTTTTGTTACCGAACTTTGCTCAGCTCGGGCCCAAAAAAACTCGGCCTAAAAAAGTTCAAGCCGAGCCCGAACTTTTTTTTTCGACTCGACTCATTGACATAGCTATTCTCATTGAATACTCAGTCCTATCTTATTTAAATTAAAATCTAAATTTTAATATGGAACAAACACGGGCAAAATGTTGCTGTTTATAGTTAAATCTCTAAAATTTTCCTTTAAAATAGAGCGAAAGACTCATTTGCCCATTGTATTTTTAAATAAGCAAAATAAATAATAATGCAAAAATGTAATTAAATATTTGATACTTATTTTAAAGCACGTTAATATTTTTGGACAACAATTATGATTAAAAACAAGATTTTCTTATTAATAAACTATTAAAAATAATAAGGCGATTACTTAAAAAAGTTAAAAATTTAAGTGTGATAATAAATAAAAGCTAATGACCTGTGTAATTAAAATACAGTATGTTTATATAAAAAATATGTTACACCCTTTTTTTTTTAAAAAAAAACTCTAATTAAAAAGTAAATAAAATTATGAATTTATATAAATTACTTTATTATGCCAAGCATAGTCTGCCGTGGTGCACTGTAATAGATGGTTCAAGATAATTGTTGATTTTAAAACTAATTACATCACCTAGGCTATGGTAGTGTGCCACAGTGTTTAGCATAAGCTAAGCGAATTTAAGTAAAATTATTTTTTAAACATCAAAAGTAAACGAGAACTTTAACTTATACTTTTTTCAATTAGTCAAATTAGGCCATGTTTGGTTCACATTATTTTACTCATTTTCAACCACACGTTCTTCAATAAAATAATATTTTACATCACATCAATAACTTTTCATTCTTTTTTCAATCACATATTCCCCATCACATCAACAGTAAAAATGTATTCTTACTTTCAAAATGTACACCAAATGGGGGCTTACATAAAAGTCAGTCTAAATATCTTGATGTGTCCTCTGCTCGTGTTGTAATGGTTTATGGCGGTAAGTCAATTCGGTGTTGTCCCTTCACCATCTCTTTAGTATAACTAGGTACAAGCTCTCTATTGTACAAGTATTACATTACAAAGATATTGCTACATATATATAAAGATTTACATAAAAGATTACATAATGTCACGTGACACTTTATTATTTGTCAATTTGAAATTCAGTCAACTTTTTCATCCAAATTTTTTATATAATTTTTATATACTATTTTCATGCACAAGTAGGATCATCCTTATATTACACCCTATTGCACAACACAGAACAACAATTGAAGAAGAGTTTGTCTACACATACACTATTATGTACATAGAATTATGTACGAGTAGCATATTCCATTGAAAAATAAGGAAAGCCCCACCTCAGCATGATAGCCTCCAAATATTTAGCTACCACCCTCTGTCGCACTTTTCCTAAATCACCTACCACCATTCTACTCGTTCAGCGTCCTTTGTCCATCGCCGCTGCGGTGGCAGTCGAGCCTTACGAAGAAGCTACAAATGGAATAGCCATGAAAGGCGTCAAACTCTCCTGTCAGCCCCTCTATCTCGACATGCAAGTAACGTCGCCGGTGGATCCTAATGTGATGGGCCATACTTCCCTTCTACCTCTCCCAATACAGTAACCCCCACTCCCGGAAGTTTCAGCACTTATCAACACCTCTCCCAAAGAAATCATCTTTACCTATGGTGCCACTGAGTCGAACATCATCTCGATTAAGGGCGTTATGCACTTTTACAAAGACAAGAAACGCCATGTCATCACCACACAGACCAAGCACAAGTGCATGTTGGATTCATGCAGCTATTTGCAGCAGGAGGGTTTTGAGGTAACTTACCTACCCGTGAAGCCCGACAAGCTTGTGGACTTGGAAAAGCTCCGAGCATCCATTCGGCCTGATACTGGGTTGGTTTCGGTGATGATGGTAATTAATGAGATTGTCGTCATTCAGTTGGTGGAGGAAATTGGTAAAATTTGTAAGGAGTTTAAGGTTCCTTTGCATACTGATGCTGTGCAGGCGCTAGGGAAGATTCCAATAGATGCCGATAAAATGAATATAAGCTTAACGTCTTTAAGTGGGCATAAGATTTATGGGCCAAAATGAATTTGGGATTTATTCATGAGGAAGAGGTCGAGGATTCAGTGAAGCCTTAGATGAATGGTGGTGGACAAGATATGGGGATAAGGAGTTGGACGATTCCAACGCCCCGACTGTTGGGTTTGGTGCTGCCTGTGAGCTGGCGATGAAGGAAATGGAATATGATGATAAGAGGATAAGGGCGATGCATGGGCGATTGTTGAATGGGATTAGGGAGAAAATAGATGGAATAGTTGTGAATAGGAGTGAAGTGAACCAGTATTCAAGGAATTTGAACTTGTCCCTCGCATTTGTGGAAGGAGGGAGCTTGTTAATGGGGTTGAAAGAGGTTGCGGTGTCAAGTGGGAGTGCTTGCACAAGCGCGAGTTTAGAGCCATCTTATGTCCTGAGGGCATTGGGAGTTGATGAAGACATGGCACATACCTCAATTAAGTATGGGATAGGAAGATTCACAACCAAGGAGGACATTGACAGGGCGGTGGAGCTCACCGTCAAGCATGTTGAGAAATTGCAAGAATTGAGTCCCCTTTATGAGATGTTTAAGGAAGGAGTTGACA